GAGGCCTGGACCTTTGGGTCTGAGGGAGGAGGGGCTGGGAGCCCACCCTACAAAGCCAGATTCCCTCTTGATGGTCATGCCCTCCTCTCACCCGAATCTCCCCAGCAGGAATCCAAGCGCTTCGTGCAGTGGCAGTCCTCTATCTGAGCCCCTGCTCCGTGCCAGACTGGAGCCTGCCTCGCGTCGCTGGTGAGCTTCCAGAGTGACACCCCAGCTCCCAAGGCCGGCCTGTGCCCTCCTCTCCCTCACTCTGGGCACTGTGGGGGCCCTCCCGCCTGCATCTGGTGCCCTGTCTCTGCAGTTCCTTCCCTGACTGCTGGAGAAGACCCCACTAACCCAGCCCCACTGGGCTCCCACCACTAACGACACCCCTGGCCACGGACACCCCAAAGAGGATGTCCCCCTCTATGTGTCCTATCCCCTGGGAGTAAGCTGAGGGTGCAGCCAGGGCCCAGGGCTGGCGGGGAGGGGCAGCCAGCCAGCCATGCAATCCCCCATCCTTATCCTTGGCCACTGGGCCCATCCTTGAAGGGACAGGAGTGCCCCTGCCATGCCCCACTGGGCCTAGGGCCCTTGGTCTCGACTTGTGGCACTAACTTGGGAATGGGTGGGTTTGAAATAAAAGGGAAGACTTTATTTTACAAGGAGCTGGGTCCTTCTTATTTCTCCCCTCCTGGATCTGGCCTCCCGGTTGGGGCGGGGGACTTCCTTCACCTCAGCCTCCTGGCTGCCAGGCATTTCTGCTCCTGTCCAGGGTCTGCAGCAGTTCCAAAGGCATTATTCTTTAAAAAAGAAACAAAAAAGCTTTTTTCCAAGATTCTAAAAGCAGTACACGTGTCCTGACACAGGAAGAGGCAGGCGTCCCTGGAACAGGATAGGCAGACTAGTGATAGATCTCAGTGTGTGCAGATGACAGAAGACAGGTTTCAAGTCAGGGTGAGAAGGACCCTTTAGTTTTGAAGCACTGCTGACATCACTGGCTCACTGTCTGGAAGACAAAATCCTACATACGAGATGGGTGAGAAATCTAAGTGTAGACAACAAAGGGACGGAAGTATTTCAAGAGAAAGTCGGAGAATTTTGTATATTGTATATCTTGGTTGGAAGTGGAGGATTTAAGCAAGATAACCTAAAGCTGGAAACAAAAAGGTAAATTGTTTGACAAATTGTGGAATGAAAAAATGCCGTCAATGGGGCCTGACCAGTGGCGCAGTGGCAGGTTTGTGCATTCTGCTTCAGCGGCCCAGGGCTCACCAGTTTGGATCACAGATGTGGACCTACGCACCCCTTATCAGGCCATGCTGTGGCGGGCGTCCTGCATATAAAGTAGAGGAAGGTGGACATGGATGTTAGCTCAGGGCCAATCTTCCTCAGCAAAAAGAGGATTGGCGGCAGATGTTAGCTCAGGGCCAATCTTCCCCCTCCCAAAAAAAAAAATGCTGTCAAGTCAAGAGGCAGATTGATAGCATGGGGAAAACTGTGCTTTTTCTTTTAACACATATGGCAAAGAAATATATAATTCTTAGTACATAAATATAATCTACAAAACTTCCACAAACTAAGAAAAAGGCAGCCCAACTTAATAAGCAATGAAGATGAACATTTGATGAAGTGAAAATCCCATCACTAATGAAGAGATAAAAAGACATTCAAACCCTAATAATTGGGAAGTGCAATTTGAAACAACCACCAACTTTTTTTTTCCACCACCCAGTTATCATGAGATGACAAGAGTGCTAATGTTCTGGGCTGGCAAGGATGTGGGACCCAGGCACCCAAGCGCGCTGCTCCTGAGGCTATGATCTGCAGTCCTATGAAAAAAATAATCTGCTCCCATGTGATAACATCAAACTATACAGACCCTGTGAGCCGGTAGTCCTACTTTTGGGAGCCAATTCATGGACGTAAAGCAGAGGCATGTGAGGACGTGTGTTAAGGGCTGTTTGCGTCACCGTACTTCGATTGGCTCAACTCTGGAAACTAAAGTCCGCAGGGAGCAGACGTGTCCAATAAATCACCCCCCTGCAGGGCTCTCTGGAACACGACAGCTCTTGGCTGGTTGTAGGATTCTAGGGAAAGCCTGAGAGAGGAGGATTGGAGGTGGGTGTGACAGACAAGGGCAGCAGCGTGGACAAATGCCGAGGAGACAGCCCTGGTTAAAGGCCCCGCCTGCGTCAGCCATCAGATGGGTGACAAAGGACAGCTCCCTGGGCCCTCCTCTGCAGTTCCAAAATCCAAGGAGCTCTGCTGGGCCACACGTCCTCCCCTAACTCACTGGGCAGTGGAAGCTGACCTGACCTGGCATGGGGTGACGCACAGACTATTTCCCCGCCTGGTGTGAATGTTCTTCTATTTCCCTGCAGAAACACTGATGGGGTTACTTCTGAGTTCCGTGCAGGGTGCAGAGGGTGTGGTGTACCACGTGGAATATAAACCATGTTGTCTCTCGAAGCTCTGAAAAATCCTGAAGCCCAAAACATATATGTGGTCCCGAGGGTTTCGGGTCAGGGCTGGTTAGCCCAGAGTGTCAGATGTCAGGTATCCAGCGCAGGGCCCACCATGGGGGAACTGCTCCATGCTTGCCAATCATTTCCCTCTAGAGCTCTGCAAGGGGTGTTCAAGGAAGCTATTGATATGTGGGCCTGAGGCTGGGAAAGAGAAATCGACTCATTTCCTGTGAGGGGCTCTGGGGGCCACCTGTGTTGACTCACTTCCTTCTCAAGAGCACGCAAGCTGACCCTGGGGCCAGCCCTGCTGCCAAGGCTGGCTGTTTGGTTCTAGGACACTGCCCTCTAGTGACTGTGAATCCAGCGCTGACGTGCTGGATTCTTGCAAAGTACCCTGAGATTCAGGCTGCCTCGTTTCCTGCCAATCGCCTGCCAGTGATCTCTCATCAGGGAGCTTTAACCAAGAAAAAACGACATTTGCCTAACCTTTACAAAAGTAAATCTATGTTTATTTTAAATGATCCATATGAGGCCTCCCACTTCTGACCAAGATGGAGTAACAGGGACTGGATTTGCTCTCCTTCCTGAAACAAACAAAAAGCCAGACAAAGTACATGAAACAGCAGTGCTCAGGACTCTGGAAATTAGACAAGGGGGGAGAGTGATCTCTCAGATGGGAAACACTGAGGTGAGCCCTGAAATCGCCAGTCTACTGTCAGGAGAGTTTCCCAGCACAGGACAGGGGAGGGGAACTGAGGCAGAGCACCTCCTGAAGGCCCCACCTAAAACTGCTCTGAAAAGTAAAGTCTGTTTTTAAAGAATGCTCAAACCAAAAGAAGGCAAAAAAAAGGAAAAGGGGAATAAACAAAGATGGAACAAATAGAAACCCAATAGTGAGATGATGAATTTAAAGGGAACCACGCCAATAATCACATTAAAAGGACAGTTATAAGCACCTCTTTGAAAAGGCAGAAATTGTATGTTTGGGTAAAAAGATCCAACAATATGTTACCTACAAGAAAACCCCCTTAAATATAACACTTACACATAACGGGATGCTGAATGCAGAGTCCTGGACTGGACCCTGGCACATAAGGGTGACCTTAGTGAGAAAAGTAGTAAAATTCAAGTAAAGTCTGCAGTTTAGTTAATAGTCACGTGCTAATGTTGGTTTCTTCGTTTTAACGAACATATCACAGTAAAGTGAGATGACACCATTTGGGGAAATTGGGTGTAGGGTGTGTGGGACTCTGAACTATCTTTGCTGCTTTTTTGTAAATCTAAAATTATTGTAAAACAAAAAGCTTAATAAAAGTAAAAGAATGGCAAAAGGTCAACTATGTGTCAGTACAGATAATCCATAATCAATCTATAAATCAAATTTGGGTGAGTTTATTATGGGCCAATCTTGAGGACCATATAGCCCTGGGGGGTACCTTCCCCAAGGAAGGAAGCGCTCCAAAGAAGCGGGTGTACAGTGTGGTTGCAGACCGTCTTGGAACAAAGAACATCTATCAAATATGACCGGAATATCTCTTTTATTACAGTCAGGAGATGATTTGCTAGACCAGCAGGTCAGTAATTAATCCTACATTTCCGGGAAGAAATGCTTATCTTTAAAGAAATGCTGATACAGGAGGAGGCGACGCCCCTATCTGTCAGGGCATCATTCTCTGCTTTGGGACATTGTCAATGTTTAAGGCAGATGGACAATGCATGCTGGACAGGTCACGGCAGGCCTTTCTGGAAAAACAAGGGCAGGCTGAGTTAGTTTTACACCAGATAGTTTCCTCATCTGCTGCAATGTATCTTACTGCTGTTCGTTGATTCATCATATGCTAACAGAAACAAAATGCTACATAGTTACCAACAGGAAAGTTTATAGTAAGAGAAAGACTGTTCTACCAGCCACTGGGACTACAGGGACCCGTCCCTGAACTGGACTGGATAATTTATCAGCCAGAGGTCTGGATGGAAACAGATGACATGCCCAAAAGGTTACTTGCAAGGAGTTTAAAGAAAGGCCAATCTACAGAGATGGTCCAAATTCCTTAGACTTTCGGGATCTGCTACTGGCCCACCTGCACTGACCTAGCTCTTCACTCCAGGACCCCACACACTTCTATTCCGCCACAGCCACCTGCTCACCGCATTCTCCCGAGCTACGCTTCTTTCCCGCCTCTGAGTGTTTGAACACGCCGTTCCCTCCACCAGGTGCACGGTTCCCGATTTATCTACTAAGGAAGCTCCCCTTGCCGAGGGGAGGCTGTTCTCACCCCCTTTCTCTGAGTTCATCATTCTCTTCCCCTGGCCTTCCACATCACTGTACGGTGATCACCCTAGTCTACACCCAAAAATAATAATGGCTACCGTGAACTGAGCCCACACAAGCTTGCGCGGAAGGGCACGGGGGGGGGTCGAGCAACGCTGCGGCGCCTGTCCACTCGGGGCCACCGTCCCCAACCCCTTTTCCGGCTTGCCTTAAAGCGCCCCCCGCGTCATTTGCGTAGGCGGGGGGCGGGCTCAAATCAAGCTCGTTGCGTCCATTGGCTGTGCGGCATCTAGGGAGGCGGGGCGAGGCCTCCTTGTGACGTCAGGACGCCGCGGTCGGGACGTTGGAGCCCAGGGAAGACAAGAGTCAGCCGGGTTGGGAGCCGTGCCGCGGCCGTGTTGCTCTCGCCTTGGGCCGCTGGTGACGAGTCCCGGGGGCGATCAGCCGAGGTAGGTGTGGGGAGCGACGGGCCGGCGGGCGGGCGCGAACGGCGTCTCCTTTCGGCGTTACGTCGCGCAGGCCCCGAGGCCTTGGCGGCTGTCGCACCAGCGGACGCCGCGCGAGAGCGGCGACAGGGTGTGGCGGGCTCGAGCGGCCACTGCGCCTGCGCAGCTGCGCGCCTGCGCCATCGGCCCCCGCCCTCGGAATTCCGGGGCCCCGAGCGCCCCCGCTCTCAACCCCCCATTGACCGGGAGGTTCCACCCGGAGGACGGCGTTGCCCCGGGCGACGGGCGGCACTTGGGCCGGCTTCATCCTCGGGGACGGTGCGCATGCGCGGCGCGGCTCGGGCGGTGGCTCCGGAGTCAGACGTGGGGACCCGGGCGGCCTCTGCCTCCCCCCGGCGCCCCCTCTGCCTTCCCCAGGCCTGCGGGGCGGCCAGGTGCCCCTCTGGCCCCGGCCTCGCGTCCGATTTCAGACCCACTCCAGGCCTTCCCTTTCCGCCTCCCCGATTCTCTCCGCTCGTGACCTCCTGCCCTCCTCCCCCACCCCCCGCCAGGTCCTGTTTCCTCCTTAAGTTAGCCTTTCTTTTCTAGGGCTGTTCCCAGCTCCAGACTCCTGTCCCTGTTCCCTCACTTCTTGTAGGATTTTTGAATTCTCCCGTGAGACTCGCCTTTGAGCCCACCCGTAATTCTCAGTTATCCCCCCCAAGTTCACGCCCGCCGGTCCTTGCCCCCAAGACGCCCCTTCACTTTTTTCAGTCCTCTCATCCCCTCCCAACTTTCTAAAGATGCTCTGGACCTCATTAGACATCCCTGAAGCTTTCTCCCCAGACCCCCAGTGGCGGGGCTACGGCTTCTCCCTCCTGGGTCTACCCCTGCTTTTAGGACCCTGCCGTCTAGCGTTCTTCTCTGTCCTTAGGGGTCCTTCCTGAAATTAATCCCTTAAGAACTTTCTAAGCACCCGTTTCTTCACCAAGGGGTTCCTCTTGGGCACCCTCAGCTTCTCCCTGTTTCTAGGATAACTTCCAGAAATCTTCTCTTTCTCTGATTGATTTTTCCGTTCTCCGCTGTTCTCCTCTCTCACGTCTCCCTCAGAAGCTTCCCTCTTGACAGAGTTCCCCTCAGAAACCTTTCCAAGTCTCCCAGCCTTAGGGGTTCCCGCAGGCTTTGCTCATGAGGGCGTCGTCTTCCTTCTCCTTCCTCTCTGGCATTCCTTTTACTCGTTACCTCTTGACTGAGGTCCCCCAGCCTACCCTCCCCACCACCTTCTTATCCGTCTCAGAGTTTCCCTTGAACTCTTCTCCTTCCTCATACGGGTTTCAGATCCTTCATTTCACAGCCAGGGCACTGCAGGGCGGCCAAGGTCTTGCCCTCGCACTGTAGCCCTTTTATTCCACACCCAGGATTCTCTTCAGATTCTTTACCCCAGTGGCTCCTTCTTTCTCAGACTCCCTTTTCTGCCTGCCTTCTCGTGAGTCCATCCGCTTCTCCTCCCCTCATCGTGACATGTTTCTTGCTCCTTCTTGAGTCTCCCTAACTCTTTCTTTCTCTCACAGACAGTGAAAAGGCAGTCTGGCTCCCGCGGTCCACCCCTTACACCCCAAGGTCCAGATGGCGGCCAACGTGGGTGATCAACGTAGCACAGATTGGTTAGTGGGGTTACTGGGACAGAAGCTGGAGGGGAGGGTGAGAGGAAGTAAGCCTCAGTGTTGTCCTCCGCGATGGGCCCTCCCACAGCGTGGGGGAAGTGATGCAGCAGTGCCTGTGGGGGGTGGTGGGGACACAGCCCTCCTCTGGCCTCAAGGTTAAAGGGAAGCATTTGGCTGTAGTGTGGAGGAGGTCAGTCTTCACCCCTCTGAACTTTCGTTTTTCACAGTACAGTGCTTGCTTCACAAAATTGTGATGATTGATTCAGTGAACTGTGATTAGGGGGCAGCGTCCAACACTTAATACTCAGTCATTTATCTTTTTGTTAGTTGCTTATTTTTTCCACACCAGCATGATAATTACCTGCTGGCTGGGGTGGTGTCAGACAGAATTCATTGATTCATAAAACACTTACACCTGCTAGGCGCCAGGTTCTATGTTTAGCTCTGTGGACACTGATAATCTTTTCATTTGTTTGATTTTTAATAACTGCTGTGTACCAGGCACCTGGAAAAGTGCCTTAGGTAGGTAATTCCATTTATCCCTCAGAAACTGTGAAGCAGAAACTAGTTGTCAGCATATCATAGATTAGAAAATTTAGGCTCCAATAGATGATAAGAGGGAGATCTGGGGTTCAAGCCGTGGTATTTGCCTGCCTCCATCTTTCACTCTGTGTACTGGGAGGACAGACTGACTGGACGTGCTCTCTCTGCAGGTCCTCTCAGTACACCATGGTGGCCGGGGCAGGCAGAGAGAACGGCATGGAGACTCCCATGCACGAGAACCCGGAGTGGGAGAAGGCCCGCCAGGCCCTGGCCAGCATCAGCAAAGCAGGAGCCGCTGGCAGCTCCGCCAAGGCCAGCAGCAATGGACCCGTGGCCGGTGCACAAGTGAGCAGGCCACACCGGCCTGGGCACCCTGCGTGGGGGGCTACTTGGGGAGGGACACACGTGGTGGACACTGTACTCTGAAGATATTCTAGGAGTTTTTGGGTAGGGGAAGTGGGTCTGTTTCCTTGAAGAGTCCTGAGTCCTCTGTGGTCCTAGTCCCTGGGAACCTAACCTGAAGAGGGAGATGTACCCTTGGTGCCCCAGTTCCTATGGTGGAGGCGGTGGCGCTCTGTGGAGAGACGTGGACACACTTCCATTCCTTGGCAGTTAAACACCAGAAAATCAGTGTGCCCTTTTGGGGCCTGTGGGGCCCATGGGCTCCCGCTGCCAATGCTGATGGCACGTGGGCCTCTCTCTCCACAGTACGTGTCGCAGGCAGAAGCCCTGCAGCAGCAGCAGTACTACCAGTGGTACCAGCAGTACAACTACGCCTACCCCTACAGCTACTACTACCCCATGGTGAGTGCCCGGCCGGGCCGGGGCCGGCAGGCGAGGAGTGGGCTCAGGCAGGATGCACGGGTCCAGGTGTAGTTCATGGGTTGAAGTCAGCAGTGACACCTGCTGAAAAGCCCTTCACTAGCTCATTGCCCAGGAGGTAAATCCCCGGTGCTGCCTGTGGCCTGCCAAGTCCCACGTTAACGTGGTTCTGGTCACGTCTCCTCTCCCTGTGCTCCTTGCACAGTTGCCACAGAGACGACCTCTGTCTCTCACACACCCGGTCCACTCTCGCTCTGCTCTGCTGCAGCTCTCTTCCCACGTTCCCAAGCACCCTGGGCCCGCACCTCCTGGAGGGCTGCCCAGATGTCACCTTCAGAGAGCCCTTTTCTCTGGCAAACGTAGTGTACAGGAGCATCCCCCCACCCTGTCATCTGTTTCTTTATTTGGCCTCTTTACTTCCTGCTGGATGTGTTACATGTCTGTCTACAACTGTGCCTACGTTTTGAATGCAAACTTCTTTAGAGCATAAGTTTTATCTGTTATTTTTTGTTCTCTTGTTGTGCTTAGGAGAGTTGGCACTCAGTAGATATTTGTGAAATAGATCCTCTAAGATCTAGTAGAAGTGGGGTATGGAATTGGTAGAGGTTTTCATTTTATTTGTTAATTTTTTTAGTGTAAGATAATTTGTTGCATTTATGCAGCGGAGGGAAAAAGAGAGGGAGCAGAGGTGAGTGGAGGGTCGTGGATCGCGTAAGGCTCCTGAGTGGCAGGAGAAAGGGGAAGGTTTAGACCTTCCGGGCAGGAATCGGGCCCACCCCTAACCCTCCTTCCTGTGCCTTTGGCAGAGCATGTACCAGAGCTACGGCTCGCCTTCCCAGTATGGGATGGCCAGCTCCTACGGCTCAGCCACACCCCAGCAGCCATCGGCACCCCAGCACCAAGGGACTCTGAACCAGGTAATGCCCTAGCCGGCTCCGTGTCGAGTTCAAGCAGGGGCTCTAGTTTTGAGAGTGGGCTCGCAGTGGGGATGCCTGCATTATTTACACTGCCCTGTCTCCCTTTTTTCCCCCCTGCCAAGCAATTTCTGATCTGAGAACAACCAGGGCAAAGCAGTTTTAAAACCAGGATGGGTTTAGGGCAAGGCCAGGGGCTGAGGTGTTGGGATGACAGTGGGAACGCTTTGTCATGTGGCAGCCTGTCTTGTGTATTTCCTCCAGCACGCACGCACACGCATACATACACACACATGCACACACACAGTCTAGCCTTACAGTTAACGTGCAGCCTGGAGGAGCTGTGGAGCTAGTGCGGGGGAGGCAGGTCTGGGTTTGAATCCCAGTTCTCTGCGTGACCTCTGCGTCTCAGCCAGCTCTGTCACGTGAGAAGGATAATTGCATTTTATTATAAGGCTTCTGTGAGTATGTCTGAGCGCGTGTGTATCTTGACCGGCACATGATACCTGCTCAGACAGTGGCCGCTGGCGTGGGTGTGCTGTCACTGGCTCACTAGGAGGTGGACTCCCGTGTTTAGATGTGGGCTGCTGCCACTCAGCAGCCGGGGGCCCCGAGCAAGCAGCTCAGTGTCTGAGCCTGCATTCTCTTGGCTGTGAAAAGGGTGGGTAATAAAAGTCTGTCCTTCAGAGGGTCATTCTGTGGGTCCAGGGTGATACTCCACCTGGGGCTCACGACATAGAGCTGAGAGCTGAGTAACGTTACAATCATGAGAGCAGAGTGAGAGAGCATGGAGAACTCTGCTCGCGCCTTCAATGCCTGCTTCCTCCGACAGCCCCCGGTCCCCGGCATGGATGAAAGCATGTCCTACCAGGCCCCCCCTCAGCAGCTGCCGGCAGCCCAGCCCCCTCAGCCCTCCAACCCTCCCCACGGGGCTCACACTTTGAACAGCGGCCCCCAGCCCGGGACGGCCCCAGCCACCCAGCACAGCCAGGCAGGGCCCGCCCCGGGCCAGGCTTATGGGCCGCACAGCTACCCTGAGGCTGCTAAGCCCAAGAAGGGCCAGCAGCTCTGGAACCGCATGAAGCGTAAGTTGGCGTTGGACCCCAGAGAGGACAGGGCATGGGGGTTGCACCTCTCAGGCCTTGGGCCTGAGGCACGTTGGGGCGGTATCCTTATTTCTGGGTGTGTGATGTCCCAAGGCTTTGAGTGCAGCCACTCTGCAGCTTGGCCTGTCCCCTTCCTGGGGGTAGGGCAGCCCCAGGCGGGCCCAGGATGTCCTAACCCCAGCTTTTGCTGCCCCCACAGCAGCCCCTGGGACTGGTGGTCTCAAGTTCAACATTCAGAAGCGGCCCTTTGCCGTCACCAGCCAGAGCTTCACCTCTGCCTCGGAGGGCCAGCACAGCAGCTTCGGCCCCCAGCCCAACCCCGAGAAGGCGCAGAACCACAGGTGATGGCCATGCCCTTGCCCCCACCCAGGCCCCTTGCCTCTGTACTCAGCGTCTGTGTACAGTCCACTGGTACGTTCTGCACCCCGAGTCTCAGTCCGCTCCTCCAAACACGGAGAGGGGTCCCTTCCCCGGGGTTGCTGAGAGCATGAAACAAGAGGGGAAAGGAAAACACTTGCCGTGTATCTGGCACGTGTGTCAGCTCAGTGAGGGGTCGTGATGACAGTTTTTGCTGGGGTGCGGGGTGCCCCCCAGCTGAGTGCCTGCATCCGCCCCCAGGGGGAGCCTGTCCGGGAAGCCTGATGACTGGCCGCAGGACATGAAGGAGTACGTGGAGCGCTGCTTCACGGCCTGCGAGTCGGAGGAGGACAAGGACCGGACGGAGAAGCTGCTCAAGGAGGTGCTGCAGGCCCGGCTCCAGGACGGCTCGGCCTACACCATCGACTGGAGCCGGGAGCCTCTGCCGGGGTGAGTCCGGGTGGGGGCCATGCGGGGATGAGGGCGATTTTGCACAGGAGGGGAGCTGGGTGCTGTGTGGAGACCTCCATATGTGGGTACCTGGAGCCCCAAAGAGAAATGAGCAGGGATGTTGGATCTTGGGGGCGGGAGGCCAGGAGTCGCCAAGGGTTGGAATCCTCGGGTGGGTGAGGGCCGTGGAGGCTGGCAGGTGTGTGTTACTCAGCGGCTAAGAGCACCCCGTAGACACAGAAAACCTTGGGTTTGCCTCTCATTTCTGCAACGTATTAGCTGAGTCGCCTGGGTAAGTGCCCTTCCCGCCTGAGCTTGTGTGTCCCTGGGGTGGGTGGCAGATGTTGGGGGCGGTGGGGGCGCCGGGTTGGTGATGCCCTGCCCTGCTATATCCTCAGGCTGACTCGGGAGCCTGTGGCTGAGAGCCCCAAGAAGAAGCGGTGGGAGGCCCCTAGCAGCCTTCATCCTCCCAGGGGGGCAGGCTCAGCGACAAGGGGCGGGGGTGCCCAGTCCCAGCGAGGGACACCAGGGGCTGGGGGTGCTGGCCGAGCCCGGGGCAGCAGCTTCGCCAAATTTGGCAACCGCAATGTCTTCATGAAGGACAACAGCTCCTCCTCCAGCACGGACTCCCGCTCCCGCTCCTCCTCCCGGTCCCCGACCCGCCACTTCCGCCGCAGGTGCGCAGGCTCCAGGGTGGAGGGTGGGCCTGGGGGAGCAGCCATTCAGGCCTCACCTTCTTGCTGCTTCTGTGCAGTGACTCCCACTCGGACTCCGACAGTTCCTACTCAGGGAATGAGTGTCATCCTGTGGGTCGCAGGAACCCGCCCCCCAAGGGCCGAGGAGGTCGGGGAGCCCACATGGATCGGGGCCGAGGCAGGGCGCAGCGTGGGAAGAGGTGAGACCTGGGGTCGGTGACCAGGAGGAGGAGGGCTGTGTCCTTGGGGAGCGTTGGAGAGGCACACCTCTGACTGCCCCTGTGGCTGAGGCTGGAGCATGGCACCCACCCTTTGCTTCCTTCCCTGCCCACTTCTCCCTGCCCAGGCACGATCTAGCTCCCACCAAGCGCAGCCGCAAGAAGATGGCAGCGCTGGAGTGTGAGGACCCCGAGCGTGAGCTGAAGAAGCAGAAGCGGGCGGCCCGCTTCCAGCACGGACATTCCCGCCGCCTGCGCCTCGAGCCCCTGGTGCTGCAGATGGGCAGTCTAGAGAGCAGCGGGGCTGACCCTGACTGGCAGGAGCTGCAGATCGTGGGCACCTGCCCTGACATCACCAAGCACTACCTGCGTCTCACCTGTGCCCCAGACCCATCTACCGTGCGCCCTGTGGCAGTAAGTACCCAGGAAGGCTGGTGCTGGCTCTAGGCCCGTGTTGCCAACACAGGGAGGATGGCAGAGACCACACAGGAGGGGGTGCTGTCGCAGGCAGGCACCTGCAGCTGGCTGGGGACATCAAGGCCGGTGGGCACTCTGAGAAGTGAAGTGAAGACAGAACCTGTGCTTCGGAGCCCTGAGTCCAGCGTGTATGGCCTTGTTGGGACACTTGCTTGGCCTCTGAGTCTCCGTCCCCTGCTTAGGAGATAGAAGGAAGCCCCCCTCCCAGGCCCGTGCCCCTGAGGCAGTGGGATGATTGGGCCTCAGCATCCTCCGCTGAGGCCAACGGTAGAAACGTAGTCAACATTCCATCCCAAAGGACATGACCGCATGTGCTGATGCTGAAACCGAGGCCTGGGAGCATTTTATTGTAGCAGGCTGTTTTGCGATCTTTCTAATGTTGGTGGCGAGTCGTTCAGTGGGTTTGATGTCGCAGCCCTCTTTTTAAGACAGCAAGTTAGTGGGCCTGTAGCAGGTTCTAGTGTGTCTTTGCACCCTTGCCTCAGTCACACTGAGCGTTGATTCCATTCCTTCCCCAGGTTTTGAAGAAGTCACTGTGCATGGTCAAGTCCCACTGGAAGGAGAAACAGGACTATGCCTTCGCCTGCGAGCAGATGAAATCCATCCGGCAAGATCTGACGGTGAGGCGGGTGCTGGGAGGGCCTGGCCCTGGCTCGTCCTGTCCTGCTCCGGCCTAACTTCTCCCTGCCCGCTGCCCCAGGTGCAAGGTGTGCGCACCGAGTTCACGGTGGAAGTGTACGAGACGCATGCCCGAATCGCCTTGGAGAAGGTGAGTGGGCTGACGAGGCCCTCCTGGGCTCCTCCCGGGCTCCCTCTCCTGGCCTCATTCTGCTCCTCCTCCGTGCCTGACCCTCCAGGGTGACCACGAGGAGTTTAACCAGTGCCAGACGCAGCTCAAGTCACTGTATGCTGAGAACCTGCCAGGCAACGTGGGTGAGTTCACGGCCTACCGGATCCTCTACTACATCTTCACCAAGAACTCCGGAGGTGAGAGGCACGGTCCACGGGCACGGCTGCCCCAGGCCTCCAGGCTTGGGCCCTCCTGAGCCCCTTTTGTCTCGGACCCCAGATATCACCACGGAACTGGCGTATCTGACACGGGAGCTGAAGGCAGACCCTTGCGTGGCCCACGCCTTGGCGCTACGGGCAGCCTGGGCTCTGGGCAACTACCACCGCTTCTTCCGGCTCTACTGTCATGCGCCCTGTATGTCTGGCTACCTCGTGGACAAGTTTGCAGACCGAGAGCGCAAGGCTGCCCTCAAGGCGATGATCAAAACGTATGTGAAGCTGAGCTTCCCCCGGCTCTCTGCTCTGCCGGCCCCGCCGCCACCCTCCTCCCTGTCATCCCCCCCCTCACGCTCCTGGCCATCAGGCCTCCGGCTCCAGAGCCCTTGTGTCCCCTGGTCGCCCTCCCTCGTGTCCTGGTCCTCTCTCCCGTCTCGTCTTTCCACACTCAGCCCTCCCTCAGATCCTCCTGCTTCCCTTCACACAGCCCACCCTGTTCTGGGCCGTTCTCTGCCTCACTGCTCCGGGGGTCACTCTTCATCCCTCTGCTGCTCTCTTTCTCCTGCTCAAGTCACCCTGGTTTCTAGTTCGTTTTCTTCTTGCTCTGGGCTCTTGGCTTCCTGCCTTGAGGTCTCTGTCCGCCTGTCTTTTGCGGCTCTCCTGTCGCTGAGCTCCTTGCTCTGTAGAGACAAACTAGAAAGGCGGGCCTGCTCTTGGCAGCTTCTGGTCTGGTCTAACGGGACAGGGCCCCATTCCCACTTGAGGTCCTTTGAGACTGCAGACAATGTTTAGGGAAATAGGCGTGACATGGGGGCCAGCCAGACTGGGGGTGGTACTTAAAAAGAGCACGTCCTCGGCCCACCAGGTGTTGCATGTGCCCACTGTGCGTGGGTGCGTGTGTGTGTGTGTGTGTGTGTTGGGGGGTGGGGATGCTTGGGTCCTTGGAAGTGAGAAGCCCCCAGGGGATGGAGGGCAATATAAGGAGACCACTTTTATTGTCACAACTAGGGGGTACTACTTCTTGAGTGGGTTGAGACCAGGGGTACTGCTAAACATCCTGCAGTACACAGGATGCCCCACAGCACAGCAGCATCCAGCCCCCAGGTGTTAGTCTTGTCGAGGTTGAGAACCCCTGGTCCGAGGTTAGGAGCCATGGGGATGGTTTGGAGCTGGGGAGGGACAGTCAGCTTGAAGGACAGGAGATGTGCTCTAGATCCAGTTTAGGTCAAGAAGACTTAAGGCAGAGGCTGAGCCAGGGCAGTGGCACAGACATAGAGAAGAGGACGTGGGGCAGAAACATGGAGGAAGCAGGATGCACAGGGCCTGGTTTACCGACCTGGGAGTGATGAGGGAAGTGGCCATGTGGCTGAAAGCTGCCCTGGCTGCCCTCAGAGTCCACCTCTGTGACTAGACAGACTCCGTCAGGGCAGCTCCCAAGCCCCCGGACTGTTCCGGGGCTGTAGCTGGGCGAGCTCTTATTCCTGGACCAGGTTTATATGCTGGCCCTTGGTCGGGGACCCAGCCGCGAATGGGCCTCTGGGAGGGGCCCTGGTTGTTGGCCGCCTGCTTTCAGGCCTTCCCACTTCCAAAGGTGGCGCTGCCTTTCCTTGGCAGACGTGCCCCCCCCACCCCCACCCCATCCCAGAGCCGGGTTCCTGCAGGGCAGCCAGGAGGCCAGCTCAGAAGTGAGGGCAGCAGGCTCTCCAGGGCTGAGACAAAGCTTGGGCTCGAGGCAGGACTGGTTCAGGTGCTTTCTGCCACTCCCTCCCTAGGTGACGCTGGCCAAGTGGCCCTGTTTGGAACTGGTTGCCTCAGTGTGTGTTTATAAAGGGTAGGGTGACAGCTGACTGTGGGAATTCAGTGAGTTAATGTGGCAGCATTTAGAACTGCCCTTTCCCAGCACATGTCAGGTGCTCAAGTCTCTTATCAGCAACCAGGAATTAACTGTTTTAAGTATATACTCAGTGCTGGCTGACACCTGTGCCTGGGGTGTTCCCCTGGCAGGGGAAGCAGTGAGGGGCGGGTTCCCCAGAGAGGCAGTACCCCCTGCTGGCTGCCCCATGCCCCTCCCATGCCCATGGCGCACTCCCTCCGCCCAGCCCCTGCCCCTTGGCCACAGTGGGGCCCTCTTCTGAGGGACTGCTCAGGCCCTGAGCTGCGGAGGAGCCAGCTGGGCCCTTCCCTCCCATTCCCTCTCCTTCCTGGTCCCCCTGCACAGGTAAGTGAGGGTGAAGGGGGGCACAACCGGGGTTGGGGCCGCCAGCCCCCACCCCGGGCCCCCCCAAGCCCCTGAGGTGGGGAGGCTGGGGGTGGGGTGAGAGGTCAGCAGGTAACGTGCTGAGGAAACCCTTTGGGTGCCTGAGGGGGGGGCACCCACTCCCTGCAGGTGGGGCCCTCCCCCGCCCGCCGCGTGCCTCATCACCTTCTCCTCTTGTCTCCATAGCTTCCGCCCTGCGCTGCCCGTCTCCTACCTGCAGGCCGAGCTGGCCTTCGAGGGCGAGGCCGCCTGCCGGGCCTTCCTAGAGCCCCTGGGCCTGGCCTACACGGGCCCGGACAACGCCAGCATCGACTGCCGCCTCAGCCTGGCGCAGCTGTCAGCCTTCTGAGCACCAGCCGACGGGGCGGGGGGCGGGGCCGCGGCCCCCCAGCGCCGCCTTTGCCGATTTTGCTTTTGAGCCATGGACTTGGGTTGTAAATTAATTTGTGGGGAGTGGGCTCCAGGAAGAGCTACCATCCCTGCCTCCGTTTTCCCACCAGGGAGTCTGTACAGAGATTTTTTCTACATTTTTATTTTTTGCCTCAGAGGAACGGGATTAGGGGAGGGTGGGACAGTGGAGGGTTGGGGGCACGGTCTGTGGGCTGGCTGGTCTGTGTCCACCTGGCACCTCCACTAATGCTGTCTCAGTGTTTTCTCTCTCTCTCTCTCGAGCTTGTACTCCGGTACCGACCCGGCACCCTGGCCCGTCCCAAGCCGGGGGGCCAGCGGAAGAAGACAGGCCGCTCCGCCCGTGCCCGCCGCGGCAGGGGCACCAGCACACCTGCCCGCTGCCATCTGCCTCACCACAGACTCTTGTTGCTCAGCCCTCCGGGGCCTCAGTGTTTGGGGCGAGGGGAGCCGCGTAAAGACTGTGCCCTGCCCTCGGCCCCCACCCCAGAAATGCCGACGCCACGCCGCCACCAGATCCACCGCCACCGGCACTGAGGACTCCGGAGGCCATCGCGGGACCTCGCCGGCCGGGCCGCCTCGTCTACAGTTGTATTAAGTTGTTTCCGTGTTCCCTCCTCCCTCCATCCCAGTGTTTCTTCTGGTTTTTTTTTCCCCCCCTCCCTCCTCCTCCTGCTCCCACCCCTTCCTTGGTTCAGCACAGGTAAACCAGTTACCCCTCCCTGCCTTCATGGATCACCAGCTCACGTCATGTTTCCTTCTCTTTTCTTTTTGTGTGTGTTTATTTAAGTTACTTTTTCTTCTTCCTCCCCTTTTCTTTTCCGTCCTCCCTCCCTCTTCTGCCATGTAACTGGAGGATGTGCAATGAGTTTGCAAACAGCTGGACTGTCAGGCTGCTTTTTTTCCAGATGTTCCTCCTCTGCCTCCCCTCCCCTTCCTTTCCCCTCCCCTTTCCTTCCTTCGTTCTTTCCTTGGAGCACTGAGCACCATTTGGAAGCTTGAGAGAAACCAAAATTAAAGAGAGAGAGAGAGAGAGAACACCGTTTGTCCCTCCTGCTTGGACTGGATCTCCTCTGTCAGGTTGTTTGGGTCCTGGCCGTGATTTCTTTTGGGGCTGAGATCCAATTTATCTTCCCTAGAGGTCTGGGAGTGTCACCCCAAGGGGATCTCAGCTAGGGGCTGGTAGGTGCCGCCTGTCCTCCCCATGCTGCACAGCCAGAGTTTCCCCAGGGGCTGGCTCCCCAGCTCCTGCCCAGGGCTGAACCCAGGCACAGGAAGGCACACTTCGGAACCCTGGGGTACCTTGGCCAGGGTGAGGTGGGGGTCCAGCCCTCCCGGGGGCTTTAGCACTCTGAGCCCCTCGGCCTCCAGCCTCTGTCCCAGCACTTGGGCCATGCTTGCCAGGGAGGGGGAAGGGGGGGCACAGAGCACATGGTGGCCCAGGAGCACCAGGCGTGTAAAGCTTAGCCAAGGGGGTGCCTGAAGCCCCGGGGCCGAGAGCACGCGTCTTAGGGCGCTGACCGCAGCCTCCACCTCCCCGGGGCCCACCAGCCGCAGCAGGGCCAGTGTCAGGTGCAGGGCCTGTGCAGGCACCGTGAACGCAGCACATGATGGCGCACTTCGGACCATCTCTTCCTGGGCCTTGGCTACTCCTGCCTGCAGCCCGGGCTCCGTCACCATGAGGGCCACAAAATGCGTTGGCCGGGGCTGGCGAGGGGTCTCAGCCCTGGCCACAGTGTTCTCTCTCCTGTCTAGGGGCCAGGCCCCGAGACCCCACTCTGCTGCCTTATCAGGAAAACCTTCTAGGGTCCGCTCTGGGGCTGCCGTGGCCTGTGGCTCTGCAGTCCTGCCGACGGCAGTGGCTGGTTTTAGACGTTTTTCTGGCTCCGTCCACGGGGAAGCCTGGCCTCCAGCCCCTCCCAGCTCTTGCTTCTGGGCCTTCGCAGATGTCCCTACCACCTCCAGGTGCCGGGCCTCCGAGCCTCCCCTCTCGCGGGCAAAAGTATCCTCGAGTTCCGTCGTGTCCCGCTCTCCTTGCTCTCCTGCCGGAGCGCCAGCCGGGCCCGCAGCTAGGCGGTCCTGCGCCTCTGCGGTCCGATGTGCATCCTCGGCCCTAGCTTCCCCGGCGTGCACATCTCCAGTCCCGCGCGCGTCCCCGCCGTCCGGCGCGTCCCCGCTGTCAAGCACATCCAGGATGGTGGGCCCACGACCCGCCGCCGAGCCCGAGCCAAAGACGTGGTCGGTGCGCGAGGCGCGGTCCCACACGACGCGGCCGCGGAAGCGGAAGTAGCGCACGCGGTGCTGCGGCACTGCCAGCACGCCCGGCCCGAGCGCCGCCAGCGGCTCGTCCCAGCAGAAGGCGCTGAAGGGCTCCTCGCGCACGCCCAGAAAGCGGTCGACGTAGCCCACCGAGAAGTCAGCCGGGTCGAGGCGCGGGTCCCAGCGGATGCGCTGGATGACGGCCGCGGCCGTGCGCAGCGGCGGCTTCTTGGCCCCGGGCTCGGGCTCGGGCTCATCGCTAGGCCGCGCCGGCGCCCCAGGGTGGGGCTGGTGGCAGCGGGCACCGAAGCGGCAACGGCCCTCCAGGAAGAAGCGGCAGGCCGGCGGCGGCGGGGGCTCCGCAGCAGGGACCTCCAGGGGCGACTCCGGCGCTCCGGCCGCCGCCATGAGAGCCGGGGTGTGGCTGGCGCGCCCCCGGCCTAGGCCGTCTAGCGCCGGCGACAGGTCCGCCTGCCGGGACAGGTCTGCCGGGACCTGCTGTGGCTTCACCGGCCGGCGCCCCGGCCACGCCCCGACCCGGGAACCACGCCCGCGCTCGCGAGGACTCCGGCCTGATCCCGGGACCGCCCTCCGCGGAGTCCTCTGGGAATCTGACCCTGCCAGCACCCCGGCCCCCAGTCCAAGTGCTTTACCGGTGCGGCCGCGCCGCTCAGACGCCTTAGAGAACCTGGCCCCGCCCCCAGCCGAGAAATTTACACGTCCGGCGACGCCCCCAGTGGGGCCGCCCTCCGCCGCCAGGCGATTTACACTGTGGTCCCACCCCTGGCCCTAGTAATTTGCATGCGCAGTCCCGCCTCCTCGGTGTCAGCGAGCCTGGCTCCGCCCCCCGCCCAATGATTTGCATGTGCAGCCCCGCCTCCTTCGTGCACTTAGCGAGCCTGGCTCCGCCCCCTGCCCAAAGATTTGCATGTGCTGTCACGCCCCTCGGGCCCCCTCCCCCGTTTGGTCGCACCGTCCGCGGGCGCCCGGGACAACTGGACGCCTGGAGGTGCGGACTGAACTTCGTACCTCTGACTCGGGACGCTGCTGCCGCCCTCGGACCCACGCATCTCTGGGGGAAAAGGGAGCCTCCTCCACGGGGACAACGCCTCTTCCCGGCCACTTCGCATTGCGGACGCTCCCAGGGTCAAGAGTAGCTCCGCCCGAGCGAAGCCCACCTGGACGCGAGCTCAAGTCAACATCAATGAAAGAAAGAGGCTGTGGGAGGGGCCATGCCGGGACCCCGCCCCTGGGAGGGGCATCACCTAGCCACGCCCCCGAGCTCTCTTAAAGTGCGGTATCCCTCCAGTCCGAGCCCATTATCCGACCTCCACCTGGCTGGTCCAGTTACCGCATAGATCGGACCGCAAGGAGACAGACCTGGCTCTTAAAGGCGCAGGCCCCATCAGCCCCCTCCCCATGCTCCCTTCCCACATGCAAAGTGAACAGACAGAACTGAGGCACAGACCTTGGCCGTTTATGTATAAAGAAGTGGGGTGTCGGACTGTAGAGGCGCGGGGAACCGGGGTGCCTACAGGCCAATGACGTCGTCCAGCTCGAGGTCCTCGCTAGGGCTGCAGCGGGCCCTGGGGTGCTGCGCCCCGGAGCCGGGGTCCGCGTCGGGCTTGGCGGCCGCGGCCCCTGGGCGTTCCGCGTCCATGACGCCCAGCACGGCGTCCAGCATGGAGGGGCCCAAATCCAGGTGGAAGGACAGCAGCGGGTCGGCGGGCGCGGGCGCGCGCAGGGCGGGCGGCGGGGGCTGCGGCACGGCGGGCGGTGGCGCACAGCGCGGGGCCTCCGCGGGCGGCGCCCGGGGCTCGGGGGGCGGCCCTCCGCCGTGGCGGCTCAGGAACGACGTGTCCCCGAAGGCGTCGCCGCCGCGCCCCACATGCAGCGTGTGCCGGAAGTCGCCGAGCGGCGCGGAGATGGACAGGGCGCCGCGCTCTGGCCGCTTCTTGGGTTGCACGGGGCCCAGCTGCTTCAGCACCGGCATCTGCGGAGTAGGGGCGGGTCAGTGCTGCCTCCCCCGGGATGGAGCGCCCGATGCCTGCCGTGTCCCCAGCCCTCCATGAGGACAGGATGCCCTCCAAAAGGACAAGATGATGATGAAAGCGGTTTACTCCCATTTTACAGGTGGGGGAAACTGAGGCTCCCAGAGGCCCCAGGCCACAGTGCTTGATTCAAATCTCAGACTCAAATTTAGGTCTGCCCATGACCACCAAGCTATGCTGATTCCAACAAGAACTAACATTTGAGCTTCCTATAGGCCCTGCAACGAGCAACAGGCGTCACCCACCCTTCTGCATGCTTCCCAGACTTGACAGAAAACTCCAGCTTCTCAAAGACGGAGATTCCCAGGCCCCGTCCCTGAAGACGGGACTAACTTTGTCCCTTAGGTGCAGCAGGTGCAGTGCCTGGGGCCCACCACACACGAAAAAGTGAAAATGTTTTCGTTTATTTTAAAATGTGTGGATTCTATTTGTCTTTATAACAACACAGTCGTAAAATATAAATATATAAATACAGGTACACACACCCTCATGAAAGCTTTGCCTAGGGCACATAAAAGTCATCCTGCAGGCCTGCTGGAAGATTTTAATTCAGGTTTAGGGTGGGTCTGGGAATCTGTCTACTTGCACAGTATTTTATAATTTGAGTTATTTGATTTTGAAAGAGACAATGTAATGGCTCAGTTTTTGTAAGATGATAATAAAATTTCCCTATGTTAAAAAAACGAACAAGAATGGCGTAAATTTGAAGCTGGCAGCTTGTGAACTTGAATTAGGTACACTATTGTCACGTGGCTACCCTGGGGATTCAATGGTCAATAGAAATGCCTGCCAACCTTTGACCATATCCTGGAACCTGGGTGTTTTTATGGAACTTCTGGGAGGGACTGTGATGGCCTTGGACTTTTGTAATAACTACAGTCACTGTTATTATAATGAAAACTCTTTCTATTTGAATTGAAGCCCCACCCTTTGCCAACTGTATGAAATGGGATGAATTATGTGATCTCTGTTTGTCTGTCTGTCTCCTGTCTGTAAGATGGATGAAATAACCCTCCTTTCCTTGCAGGGCACATGGGAAAACTCAATCAAAGAAAACCCTATTTGTCATAGTGCCAGCCAACTGGTAGTGCTAGTGTTGGAAGTAGGGGAGTATTTGTCTCCAAACAATAACTGTGGAACAAAATTTAGATTTGATAAACTCCTATGAGGAAGTCAAAACAGCCAGCATTGTTCTCTTAGTAACTAGCACCCTGGGAAATATCAGTCATGCGGAGAAAAATCAAAGTCAAAAGAATTTAAAATAAATGTAGATGGATGTGTTCTGAGGGCTGCCCTCTACCCTACCCACACACACACACACACACACACACACACACACTCACTGTTCACATTTATTTCTCTGGGCAAACCAGTCTTAATTTACTACCTCTGCAGTGTGTCTCAAACTTCTCTGATCTCAGCCTAGATGAGCAGATATATTTTTATTGCAACCTAGCACACTATTCCCACCCCCTCCCCTCCTGCCAGCACATAAGGGAAACACAAATTTCATGAAACAAACATGTTACTCTTATAACATGCTAGGCACTTGGATATTTTAAATTCCAAATCATTTTATTTTTTAAAAAATGCTGACCTTGCTCATTAATGAATCTCAATCCACAGTTTAAAATAACAAATCTGCTCTCACTGCTAACAGTGCCCATCATTACTCTGCAGTAAATTATGGATAAGAAAAGGCAGAACTCAGAAAGCCAACTGCCCAGGTTTGGATATGGCTGTGCCCATTGCTGCGTGGCTTTAGGCGAGTTACTTAACCTTTCTGATCTGACCTCATTTTCTCATCTCGAAAATGGAATGGTACTCATATAATACTTTGTAGTCTCTTTGTAGGAATTGGTGAGATTTTACCCATGAAAGTCGTAGCACACAGCAAATGCTCAATAAATGCTCAGTGGAGTCCCACCTTGGATCATTCTCCCCTGTCCCACAGAAGGAAACAGACAGAGGGTACATGACTTGCCCAAAGCCACAAAGCCAGCTCCGTGGGACTCCAGAGCCCAGAGTCACCAGTTCCACTGTCTGCTACCCTGTGAAGTGACCCGTCCCTGAACAGCTCCCAGCCACCACCCCTTCTGCCTGCCCACCCCCCAGCTTGTCCCTCATCCCATCCTCCTATTGCCCTGCCAGGTGACCTCACTGCACTTTCCAGCACCTGGCAGCACATTCAGATTTTGGTTCCTGACATCAAACACACCTGGCTGCCTTTTCCTTTCTGTGGGACCCCAAACAAACCTCCTCAACCTTAACCCTCAGTTTACTCCACTGACAAACAGGAATCAGAATGCTTGTTTGCTAGGGGTCCTCGTAAAGCAGACTCACGATGCTGACATTTCACTTCCCAAGCACTTATTCCAGGCCAGACATGGGCCTAGGTGCTTCACAGAGATGAACCAACTCATTCAACCCTCAGAACAACCAATGAGGCAGAAACCCTTATCACAATGTCCATTTTACAGATGTGGTGGCTGAGGCACAGAGAGGTGAAGTAACTTGCCCTGGGTAGTTCAGTAGCAAATGTTGGGGCTGGATTTGGACTCTAGGTGGATGAACTCCAGGGTCTAAGGATGATATATTGCTCATAGCCCCTCACAGGATGGGGTGGGCCAGCGAGCATCCCCATGGAAAAAATAATGTTTTGATTTGACATGAAGGCCAGAGATATACTTGATCATTTGTTATTCTTTTCTTTTTACATTCCAGACAAGAATTAGAGAAATCGTGTTTGAATGCCACCTTTTCTCCTCCTATACCTGAGACCTTGGGGCAAATCATTCCACTGCTTCCAGCCCCAGTGTCCTCTTAAATGAGGGCTCCAACCTCCCTCTAGCAGAGTTGTGTGCTTGATGCAATGAGGTCATGCTTGGAAAAAGCCCGTCACATGGCCAAGGCTATGCACAGAGGGGTTGTTGTTTGCGACAAACGTGAAACAGACACAGAGGGCAGGAGCCAGGTGGGTCCCCGGAGGCCCTGACCCCGCGCCCTAGGCAACCGGCCCTCCTCCCGCCTCCACCCTCCCCGTCTCTTTCCAGCCCCCGCAGGGCCTCAGCTCCAGCTGCAGGGGTGGGGGGCACAGCTGGTTCACCTCTGTCCTCTCCAGGCCCCGGCCCCGCCAGGAGGGAAATAACAACCCTCTCCGGATCCGGCCCGACTGGTTCTCAGCCCTTTGGGAGAGTCTGCGAGGCGGGTGGGGCCAGGGCAGAGCCGGGGGACCCGGGAGTGGGTGACCCCCAGCTCCTTGCAGCTCCAGCGCGCGCTTCCTGAAGCCACGTGGCTGCGGCCCGGACTTCAGCGGCCGCCGTCCTTTTGGCCGTCTGTCCTGCTTCCCTCTGGACCTGCCCGGGGGCCCTGGCCCACCACTGCCCCTCACCTCGCGGTCCTCGCCAAGCGGGGCAGGCACGCTCTCTGGCTCCGGCTCCCACTCTGGCTGGGACGCCCCTCTCCTCGGTGTGGAGACGCCTCCGCCTCCTAGTCCCAGGCCTGCACCTTCTTCCTTCTTCCTCCGGGCGGGATCTCACCTGGCAAAGGAAGTGTCATGGGGAACTTGGAGGGGGATTTGGGACCCAGGCGTCCGGGTCCACATGCCACCTCCTCAGGCCCCCTCCTCCTCTCTCAGGTTCCAGGAATCGTGGTTTCTGGTTCTCTTACTCCTCAGACCCAGGAGTCCAGGCCCCAGCCCCTCCTCCCTCAGACCCAGGAGTCCGGCTCC